TTTTCAAATACAAAGCTGTTTTCAATAACAGCTGAAATATTAAAAGGAAAAGAAAAACAAAAGCTTTATTGATACAGAAAATCCGAAAAACAGTTTTCATTTCTTTCCTCTCGGTTTCACTTCGATAAAATTAAACTTAGGAATCTCAAGCAACTTTTGATAAGCATCCGAACTTCTCAATGCATCACCAACGATCGGATCGTTTTTTAGCTCCAAAATTTTGTCGCTATAGTTTCCAAAGGTGATCTCTTCGCCCGAAGCCTCAACGCTGTCGAGAAGTTTTTGCTGTTGATGGAGTGCAATCAGCTTCTCCAAGCGTTCAATTTCCGATCGATCATCTTCTGGCTTCAACATTTTCTCCAATTCTCCAATGCAAAGATCGACGTATTTCTCAAAATTCTTATTCAAAGGAACAATTGAGTTAGCCTCTAAAAAGTCGGCATAAGGCTTGGCAAGGAGTTGAACTTTTGGATAGTTTTCGGTCAAGTCGTTCAACTCTTGCTCGGTCTTGATTATCGACTCGGCCTTGCTCGCAAGCTCATCACTGAGTAAAGCCCTGTCCGCGGCGGTTTTTGGATCAGTCAGTTGGACGGCGCCCGTTTTTTTCTCTTGTGAGTACGAGATGTGTCCATGGACCCGCCAATGGCACTTGCAAGTTGTGCATAAGTCATCACTGCCAAAAATTGAGCTTTGATGTAACGCCGGATCACCCGGGTGATTTTCTTTCACGTTCGGCAATGTACAGTTTTGCAAGCAAAACCGTTTATGGAAAGTCTTATTGGTGTTTGTGCTTGGGTCGATCAGTTGCTCGATACAATCCTTTCCCCAACAAACGACGTCCCGTGTCGTTTGAGGTGTTTCTACCAAGTAGTCGTCACTAATAGTGTGAGTTGATTCAGTCGGTTCAACACTAGACACATCACTTGACTTACTCTCGCTTCTTGTCTCCACGTTGACTTTCTAAAAAGATTTTGGAAAATGAAGTTTGGGTTTTTTATTTAAAAAAGAAGATAGGCTTGAGAAATCGATGTAGAGTTTACTTATGGAAGATACCAATTTAAATACATTTCTAGTTTCTGCCTTTCGAGTTAAGCCAAAGTCGAAAAGATAAAAACTATGTTAAAGCTCAAGTTAACTATGAAACTATGAAACAAATAATTGCGTCATTACCTTTGAGTACTTTCGTGATAATGCTTTTCTTTTTTCTTTTGAAGGTTCATCTTTGACTTTGCTTTTTCCTTTTGCTTTAAATGATATACTTTCATGGAGACTGATTTCCATTTGGTTAACTTTTTTAATTTCGCCGAGTTTTGAAGAATGATATGTTGCTCTAATGATTCTAAGCCTAAATCATGCACAGTCTTTTACATTCCATGAGCAAAACGTTTGCCTAAGTATAGAAATTTAATTTATTGGGTTGGGGAGAATGAGTCGGCGCCGAACTTTAAAGGGACTTTTTGCACACATAAAGCCTTCTTTAAACATACGCTTGGTTTCATCAAAAGGATCCACTATTTCTCTACAAAATCACTTTTGAGAGATTCCACAAAGCTTTTCTTTCGTGGAGTTTATGAACTTCGAAACGCAGCTGGTTAAAATGGCAAAGAGTCCGACTCATCATTTGAACAGTTTCTTTCACATAAACCTTCTTTGGTGTTTATATAAAAAAGATAGAGCACATTGAATTACTTAAGTTGCCAAATTTGCAGGAAGATCCCACCAATGGTTTTTTCTAGATCACAGTTTGTAGTTTTTGTGAAAAAATGGCTTTTTCTTGAGCGGAGGCGCTGTTTGAATTTTCTTTTAAATGTGATTTTGTAGAGAATTAGTTAACCATTCTACTCATATCAAACGCATATTATTTGACGAAGTCGAATTGAAGTTTTAGACATTTTTTTCATTTTCGGCGCCGACTCATTCTCCCCAACCCAATATGTTTTGTAAGAAGAAAAAAAAGTGAAGAAAGAAATAAAATATGATTAAATTTTAAGATTTCCCCACCTCTTTTCGGGGCATCTCTTCCAAGAAACCAGCGTACTCCTTTGGAAATTCGGAAACTAAATCCTCCGTTTGCGGGTTCATTTGGGAAATCTTATTTGAAAGACAAAATTATGCTTTGTTTAAAATGAAATACAAAAATGTCAGAAATCAAGCTATTTTTGAAGCTCTTCCTTATCAATCCCCTCAAAATAGGTGCTGTAACGAAAATAACTTTTATTTTTCAACAAAAATCACGTAATTTTAATAAACATTTTTGATGCTACACAACTTCCCTCCTCTTTGGACGTTCTCTGGATATCCGTTCTAAGCGGGAGGTTACGGGTCCGAGTCCCGGAGCCCGATAATGTTTTGTTCTGCCCTAGCTCCAACTAACAACTGGCTGCGCCGGCAGGCAAAAACGCCTCCGGCAAAAACGGCCAAATGACATCGGCCATAGACTTATCGACGCAGAATTTCACGCTGAATCCGAATCTGGTTGCGTTTTTGCTAAACGGCACTCTATCAAAAGTTATTAACATGTAAAAAAAAAAACAAATTTTTCCATAAACTCATTTTGCTATCACCGGCAGGATCAGACTAAAGTGCAAAACCAAGCCAAAGCTAATCCAACGAGGAGCTAAACTTTACTCTTCTCTGTCACGATTAAGGGTGCTCTCTTCTTTTTAGGAATCACTAAATTACCCGCTAGACAATACTAGACACTTTGCTAATATCAAATTTCACGCTAAATCTTTTCTTTGATAATTTTTCTGCATTTTAATACTGAAGATTCAAGACCTATTTTGCAGAGTATTTTTACCTAATAATTTTCTCTTTTAAGCCAATTTTTCTGATGACTAATGAGATGTTTTTTTCTGCAAACCCTGACGACATTGTTTTCGAAAAAATAAAAAATGAAATGATACAGCTCAAAAAAAATAAAGAATGGGTAAACACGATAACGAATACTTGATGAAGAATGGGTAAACAAATTTCATTGCAGAGAGAAATGTTCTCCACAAAGAGCAAAATCGAGAAAAAAAAGAATTTAGCGAGTTTAGAGTTTTTTTTTTCAGTAATCAGTAGGTTAAATTCTGAGAGAAGAAGTGTTTTTGGGCTTCAAAAAATGTATTGAGAGACCATTTTTAGGATGGCCTCATATTCTAGTCGACTAGGCCACCACCGCTCTTTAATGTCCCTAGGAAATCTGCTGATAGGCATGATTTTTCAAATTCCATACAAAACTTTACATGCTAATAACTTTTGACAGAGTGCCGTTTAGCAAAAACGGAACCAGATTCGTATTCTGCGTGAAATTCTGAGTCAATAAATCTATGGCTGATCTCATTTGGCCGGCGCAGCGAGTTGACCTTCCCTTGCAAGTTGGAACTAGGGCAGGGCAGAGAACTATGCGCCGCATGAACTCAAACCCGTAACCTTCCGCTCACCAGGCAAATGTACCAACCATTACATCACAACCCACCTGATCTCTCTTACTCCAGAGGTAGTTAAGGTCCAAAGAGGAGGGAAGTTTAGAGAAGAGGGACGTTGTGTAGCACCAAAAATTTGTGTTACGCGTAAAATTAAAATTACGTGATTTTTGCTGAAAAATAAAAGTTATTTTCGTTACAGCACCCATTTTGAGGGTATTGATAAGGAAGAGCCTCAAAAATATCTTAATTTCTGAACACTTTTGTATTTCATTCTAAACAAAAGCATAACTTTGTCTTTCAAATAAGATTTCCCGAATGAACTCGCAAACGGAGGATTCATTTTCCGAGTTTCAAAAGGAGTACGCTTGTTTCTTGGAAGAGATGTCCGGGAAAGAGGTGGGAAATCTTAAAATTAATTAAATTTCAATACTTTGACAAACGTTTTGCTAATGGAATGTAAAAGACTGTGCATGGCTTTCTCCTGATATGGCTCTTGTACTTTCAAATAGCAATGTTAGCATAAAAGATTTTGAAATTCAAAAGCTTTGTGAAAAATGTAATGGTTTTTCTTAATAGCTTTTTTAGAAAGACGGTGATCCACCCAGGACATCAGCATCTCGTGAATCGACCAAGCGATCCAGTAACTCTCCGGCTTCAAACTCTCAACAAGAAGCTGAAGTCGTTCAAAATCAGATTCTTCTCTCCAACTTCCCCGAATCCAATGGAGATTACAAGGATCGAAAGATCAAAGATTTGAAAAGAGTCAACAAAATGCTTAAATCAATCGTCGATAGCTTTCATGTGGAGCGCGTTTGTCGACTGGGAGATTTCGACGAATCTCGCGAGTCTCCACGAAAACTTCTCATCCATCTAGCGAATGAAAGCGAGCAACAGATCATTCTTCAAAACTCTGCGAAATTAAAAAAGTTAACCAAATGGAAGTCAGTCTCCATGAAAGTATACCATTTAAAGCAAAAAGAAAAAAGCAAAGTGAAAGAGGAGCCTACAAAAGAAAAAAGAAAAGCATTATCATCAAAGTACTCAAAGGTAATGACGCAATTATTTGTTTCATAATTTCATAGTTAACTTGAGCTTTAACATAGTTTTTTCGCCTTTTCAACTTTGGCTTAACTCGATAGACAGAAACTAGAAATGTATTTAAATTGGTATCTTCTATAAGTAAACTCTAAGGGGGTGGGACAAAAGCGATCTTTTATTTGCGCACCCGACCCAAAAGCGCATATTTTCACTGTTGTTTTTTTGGCTTTTTGCAAATCAATACAAAAGGATAATTTAAATTTTTTTCCACTTTGTTTTCTCCAAGTGTTTCTGACGTTTTCCACTCAACAAAAACACACGACAAGAAGAGGTATTCTTTCTAAATTCCATCGGCCGTTCAAGAACGATGCCAAACATTCAATTGAACAGATATTTCATAAAATAACCTTGCCTTTCCTAATAGATCGAGTCCAACATTGTGCCCGCAGATTTTCACCGCTGCGTGATCACCCTGCTGGTGCTCGCACAACGTATCAACCCTTTCAAACAGTGCGCCTAATGAAATAACTGTCTTTTACTAAGAAATCACAACCAATCGTACGCTGAACAGTCAATCGGATGAGGCCACGTTGCTTTGGAGACTCGCTTTGCCACTTTCGTCAACACTTTTTCATTCACAAACGGCTTTAAATGATCTTCTGCCTCTTTGATCACGCTAGTCTCAATGTGGCGAATCGGTGTTCCCATTTTTGCGTGATGTTTCACGACTTTCTTCAATTTACGCATCTAAAAGAGAAAAGATATTCGTCAACCAAAAATGTTTATCTCTTTGGCGTAGTTGTTTGGCATATGATTATGCATATCTTCGCATTGTATCAAATTTGAGTTCACCTCTAGCTTTCCAAGTATTCCACACTTTTTTACAAGGCATCTAAATCAAATTTGTAAACTTAAAACTATCTAAATAGTACCTGTAAATGGGTCCCTTTGTTACCGTCTTTGTGTTTGCGAAATTCGAAGCCCATCGCATCGTAGAAGATCTTTTTGTTTTTGTTGCCTCGAGGCGTATCGGTGAGCGCCCTAGAAAAAGTGCTAGTGATTGTAAAAAGTGAACAAATGCAAGAAAAAGTAAATTTAAACTGTTTAAGACCTTACCGCTTATGTAGTTTTCCCGACATTGTGCAGAAGCTCTCCGGTTCCTACACAATTTGTCTGTTTTGCAACTGAAAACACAAAAAAGGAGTGGCTACTAGAGCCAAATTTTTTTACGCCACTCGCCATAACTTTCTTCTAGTTGGGCTAATCTTTATGATTTTGGCGTCATTTTGTAGATCTCAACAAGTGCAACAAAATGAGACTAAAATCATAAACATGGGAAAAAGTTATGGTGAGTTGCGCAAAAAATTTGGTTTAAAGTAGCCAACCCGCCACAAACTCTTCTCCTCTTTTCACCTCCGATGTGGATCGGTACCCATTTTGCTGATTTTCACCTTTCTTAATTTAGGACTAGAGGAATATCGCACAAAATTTTAAATTTTGGGCAGGTATTTCCACCATTTTTTCACTCGATCTTTCTTCTATGGGCTATCTTTATATTTTGGTCATTTTGTAGACTCAACAAGTGCAACAAAATGCCACTAAAAGCGAATAACCGCGCCGGAAACACTTGGAGAAAACAAAGTGGAAAAAATTGGAATTTCCCTTTTGTAATGATTTGCGAAAAGCCAAAAAAACAACAGTGAAAAGGTGCGCTTTTGGGTCGGGTGCGCTTTTGAAAAGGTGCGCTTTCGGGGGTGCGCAAATAATTAGATAGCTTTTGTCCCACCCCCAACTCTAAATCGATTTCTCAAGCCTATCTTCTTTTTTAAATAAAAAAACTCAAACCTCATTTTACAAAATCTTTTTAGAAAGTCAACGTGGAGACAAGAAGCGAGAGTGAGTCAAGTGATGTGTCAAGTGAAGAGTCGACTGATGAACGGACTGAATCAAATCCCTTCCGATTATTCGACTCCATCTCCCCGCCGGTCGTCAAGAGGGAGCGCAACATTATCCTCATTGGCGAGACGGGAGTCGGCAAGTCGACGTTTATCAACGGAATTGCCAACTACATGAAGTATGACTCGTTCGATGACGCCTTGCAAGAGAAAAGACCCGCTTGTTTGATTCCAATGTTTTTCAATTGGCCTACAGGTGATACCGTCGACATGAAGCCGACCATAGTTTTGCAGCCAGATGGAAACGAGGAAGATGCACGCACTGGCCAATCTTGTACCCAGGCCCCAAAAGTCTATCGATTTGTCACGGACATGGTTGTTTTTAATCTAATCGACACTCCGGGTATTGGGGACACAAAAGGGGTCGAGTCCGACATGGAGAATATGCGCTCGGTGGTGAAGTGCGCGGCGAGTTGTGAAACGATCCACGGGATTTGTCTCCTCTTGAAGCCGAATGTGAATCGACTCGGCTTGTCACTCCGCTACACCATCACCGAGTTGTTGGCCAACTTGCATCAAAACGCTTTGCCAAACATTGTCGTCGTCTTCACAAACTCGCGCTCCACTTTTCACCAGCCGGGCGGCACGATGGTTGGCTTGAAGCAACTTTTCGAGGAGGTCAAGGAAACGAGTGGAAACAAGATTCCACTTACTTCAAAAAACGTTTTCTGCGTTGACAACGAGGCGATACGCTTCTTGTACGCTCATCACAAAGGAGTCAGTATTGAGCAATCGTTTCTCAAAAAGTTCTCAGAAACCTGGAAGCACACTGTTTGTGAAACGCATCGACTGTTCAATTGGGTCGCCAACTTGAGCAGCCATTTAGCAAATGAGACAAGGGTGACAAGTGTGGTTCGAGGAAGCACCAATGAGCTTTGCCGAATTTTGGTTGAGATTATTGATCTGAAGAAAAGAGCACAAAAGCGACTGTTGTTACAGAAGAGACACGCGACGTATCTGGAGGAAAAGTTAGTCGAATTCGAGGCGACTCACACTATTAGTGACGACTACTTCGTAGAAACACCTCAAACGACACGGGACATGGTTTGTTGGGGAAAGGATTGTATCGAGCAACTGATCGACCCAAGCACGAACACAAATAAGACTTTCCATAAACTGGTTTGCTTGCAAAACTGTCCATTACCGAACGTGAAAGAAAATCAACCGGGTGATCCGGCGTTACGTCAAAGCCCAATTTTTGGCAGTGATGGCTTATGTACAACTTGCAAGTGCTCTTGGCAGATCCATGGACACATCTCGTACTCACAAGAGAAAAAAACGGGCATCGTCCAACTGACTGATTCAAAAACCGCCGCGGACAGGGCTTTACTCAGTGATGAGCTTGCGTGCAATGCCGAGTTGATAATCGAAACCGAGCAAAAGTTGAACGACTTGACCGAAAACTATCCAAAAGTTCAAGTCCTTGCCAAACCTTATGCCGATTTTTTAGAGGCTAACTCAATTGTTCCTTTGAATAAGAATTTCGAGAAATACGTCGAGCTTTGCATTGGAGAATTGGAGAAAATGTTGAAGCCAGATGATCGATCGAAAATTGAACGCTTGGAGAAGCTGATTGTTCTCCATCAACAGCAACAACTTCTCGACAGCGTTGAGGCTTCGGGCGAAAAGATCACCTTTGGAAACTATAGCCGCAAAATTTTGCAGCTAAAAAACGATCCAATCGTTGGTGATGCATTGAGAAATTCGGATGCTTATCAAAAGTTGCTTGAGATTCCGAGGTTTAATTTTATCGAAGTGAAACCGAGAGGAAAGAAATGAAAACTGTTTTTCGAATTTTCTGTATCAATAAAGCTTTTGTTTCTCTTTTACTTTTAATATTTCAGCTGTTATTTAAAACAGCTTTGTATTTTAAAAACTTGTAGCTATTCAATAATCTTTAGAACCTTTAGAATGGACAATCAAAACATGACCAACTTAAGTGGATCTTTGCACAACAGACAGGTAAGTGTTGTTTTCTTGTTAGAGCAAACTTGCTAACCTTTTAGAAACCTTTTAGAGCCTTTTTTCAGATATTTTAAAGTTCAAAATCCCTGAGATTGACGGCGAGCTTGTTTATTGGTACAAAAAACTTTAGGTGGATTGCAACGAGTCGGAGCGGGATTCCCTCGAACGAATGAGCCTCGACGACTCACGCCAGCAACAATTCCAGAACGTCGACTTTACGGCCGCCGAGAGAAAGATGGTGATCGTCAATCTGCCCGAGTCGTTCGTCGCTGAAGAGGCAAAGAGAGCTGCTTCTGATTGGGATGCTGTCTGCCAGATTCTGGTCGCCATCGATGCTAGACCGCTATTGGAGAAAGTACAAAGCGTTGAGCGAGAGGGCACGTTCGATCTGAGAAGTGAACATCCTCGATGCGTCATCGTTACCTTTGCCGATGTCTTCTCGAGAGACGTCGCCATCGATCGGGGCACACGATTGGCAGCGTTTCCACAAATGCGTCTCGTCGTGCTTCATGCTTATTCGCAACAGGCATGCTTTTTCAAATAGCTATGTATAAGTTGGTAAAAATAGATGGGTAAAGCTATAGATTCACGTTGGAGGGTTAGGTTTCATTGTTTTGATATCTGTAAAGTTCCCTAGTGGGCCCTAGTTTAAGATTAAGATTAAGATTTTACCGTAAACGTAAGGGAGTAAGGTGACATTGCAAGCTTTAGCCCATGACGGAAAACCGGCAAAACCTCGGCGGCATGTGGAACCAGGAAAATCCAGCAGCCAATGAACAGCATGGTAAAGTTTAGAGTGTTTCTCATTCTATGAAATGTTAACTTTAGGAATGCCCGGTCGTTTTCCCTACCCACGAAGCGGCGGTCCCCATTACACTCAACAAAGCATGAGCCCCCCTCATCCCCACGAAAATCCGTACAATGCCCGTCAAGGTGGGTACAAAAGCTACTGTAGCAAAAGTGGAACTTAAGCTTAACCTATAATTAATCAATGAGATTTTGGAGGTAATTTAAAGAATTGTTCTAAAACAAGATTGTCATACTATCTAGGGCCGTATGGAACACAATACGTGGTGGCGCCGCCTTTCACAGCGACTTCCCCGCCAGGACAACCGCCATTCCAACACCCCAATCCACATGGTAATCCACAACACGGTCTTTTTTTCTTTAAAGCAACTTAAAATCTTAAGCTAAACTTTTAGAAAAACTTTTCATTTCATATGCTTACTAAAAGCGATCCATTTTAGGTCAGTACGAGTCTTTCGCCAACATGTTTCCGCCCGGCTCCATCCCGACATCCGCGCCTCCCGGTTATCAACAACATCAACAGTTGCCGAATAACTTTACACCCGCTGGACAAAATGGATATCCACAAAATTGTAACATTTTGGTAATCTTTCAAAACTTTGCTGCATTCAGTTTATGGTCAACAACAGTGTGATCCTAACGGAACGATACCAAATTCGCAGAATCCACATGCAGCCTTCTGGCCACAAATGGGTATGCAATAAAAATCATTAAAACAAAACTTTTAAGAAATTTAATATTAATGCATTTACTCAATTTTTTAGGTTATGGTCAACAGAATCCAACGAATGGTCAAGCAAGTGGAACGGCTGGACCTCAAGGAATGCCTTTCTTCCCACAACAGCCTCAGCAACATCAAACATTTCCCCAAAACCCCACGTTTCCAATAGGTAAAGTCAAAAAATCAAAACGATCCTGATCACCTTAAAAATCTTATGTACAAGATTTTGATTTTGAATTTTGATAATTTAAATGACTTGTAGAATCTGATTGTAAGAAGGACAAACAAAAGATAAAATT